TGATCCCCCCACTTTGATGTACTGAGACTTTGGGGTTTGCATATCATAGGTTGCCAACCCTAAGCAAAAGTTTATGAATCTCTGGGACAAATCTAAAAACTACTTTTCATATTTGGTACATTATATTTGTCCCTGAAATCATTTTATGCAAAACTTTTATGTAAAATGGAATTGCTTGAGAAACGTTTGACTCCAAGTCACTTGGGTTTAAATCTGATTTAAGCCAACCTAATCCACCTCCATGAGTCAGGTATCAAAGATCTACACATCTTTCTTTAGTTGTACCAACCATATCCCATTACTACAATCTATTAAAACTATAAAGGTAGTCCTCAACTTACAATCACAATTAGGATCAGAACTTCTGTGTTGCTAAGGGAGGCAGTCATTAAATGAATTGTACCCAATTTTATGACCTATTTTGCCACAATTGTTAAGCATACTGCCATGGTTGTTAAGTGAATCCAGTTTCCTACATTAACTTTGCTTGTGGGAAGCCAGTGGAAGAGGTCGCAAATGGCAATCATTTGACCCCAGGACACTGTAACCCTCATAAATACATGCTGGTTGCCAAGTGCCTGAATTTTGAGCACATGACTGCAGGAATTCTGCAGTGGTCATAAGTGCAAAGACCAATCTTGAATCACTTTTTTCAGCACCACTATAACTTTGAACAGTTGCCAAGCAAATGGTTATAACTCAAGGATTATCTGTATTTACATAAAGTGCTCCAGCAACCCCCATTCCTAGCCATTCTGCAAGCATATTTTCTCACTCATGTACCTTTTAGGTCATAGATCTAAAACTTGAGAAATACTTCTTTTTCTTCCCTTGAGGATAACTTTTGCACCTGCCTGTTTATAGTTATTTAATCCCTATTGCACCATCCAATTTCTTAGAATAATATTCAAACTACTAAGAACTCATAACTGCATAAAAAGGAGAAAAAGATTTTTTTTTCTTTTCATACATTTTGTAGATATGGGAGCACCTTGGATATAAAGTCAACTTTTATAACCCCCTATTGTCCAATGAACACATTGATTAACAAAATTAATAAGGGTTTATTAAGGGTTTATATTGACTGTTTCCTAGTATGATTTGATTGCTTATTGTATCCTAAGTGTTGTACCTTATCATTCTTGACTCTTGACGAATGTATCTTTTCTTTTATGTACATTGAGAGCATTGGCACCAAGACAAATTCCTTGTGTGACCAATCACACTTGGCCAATAAAGAATTCTATTCTATTCTATTAATAAATATAATGGATTTCAAGAACTATTTCCAGTTATGAACTATTATCAGCGTGATTAAGAAAAGTGCTATGAATTGCAAACATCATACATACAGAGCACATTATACAAATTTAGCATTTTCACATCAGCTGTATTTTCCAAAGATATAATGCCAGTTGTAAAGATTCTGTTTCATTGAGTGACTTCATTTGAGAAATGATTCCATACCACAAATACACTTCTGTTTTTTGAATCTACAGTTAACTGAAATACAAAGATTATTGCAAATTTTGCATGTTATGTTTTTGATTTGATAAATTACTAGAATAATAACAAACAAGGCAGAGTTCAGCAAATTGTTGTAAGAAAAATAAGATAAATGAACTTTAGTGCTCCTTCTTCATTTGTTTTTCTGCTTTTGAAATATTACTTCTAGCAACAACCACTTTTTTAATATCATTTCTTGGTTTTTCTCTTCATTTTCTTATCCCAATTGTCTCTGTGTATTTTTATTTCTGTTCTTGTTAAAATAAAATAGTTTTAATTCCCATTATTGGAAGAGATATCACCTTCCTCATAACTAAATACCTATTGATTACTTCTCTGGAAGAAAACTGTACTACCATAAAATGTCCTCTCCCACAGGGAATCCTTTCTTCTGACACTAGCCAAGTGGGCAAACAGCCTTCCAGCCAGGAGAGGCAAGGAGGTGCCAGGTGGGGCAAGGCATGCTATTCAGCCGGTTCACCAAACTCCACAAAAAACTAACTACTAGTACTCCTGAACCAATGCAAACTAGCTGAATCCCACCACTAGACAGATGTGGGATAGACACCACTATATAGGTAACATTCCCTGTCTCTAAGACCTAGTGCTGAGGTCTCTATTGAATACACAGATATATTCTGAGGCTATAGGTAGAACCTATGACTGCTCCAAATATCTTTAATATTACTGATTTGTATTTATTCCTCCTTCTTGATGCGTTGGACAGATGCCCCATTTCTACCTAGGAAATGCAAGCCCAGTAACAGGAAACACAAGCAGTTAAAAAGCCATTATTCAAATGAAGTGCAAAGTTTGTCTATGGCTGCTCTGTATTCTCTAATCCAGTGTTTCCCAATCTTGACCACTTGAAGATGTGTGGACTTCATCTCCCAGAATTCACTAGCTAGTTTGAAGTTCATACATTTTCACGCTGCCAAGGTTGAGAAATACAGCTCTAATCTGTCCAGGCAACAAATCTTAATAAAACTGGCTGCTGAAGGATCCCTAAAAGAAGAGAGCAAAACATGATATAGAACACAGATACATATATATTTGCATGCATACATGAATAGGTAGAGATTCATAGTGACTGTAATGTAAATAGCAACATACCATATTTCATTACTGAAGAAAAAAATGGACTAGGCAATCTCTGTTTCAGCCCAGCCTGTTATCTATATTTATTTATTTGATTTGTCAATTGTTTACAAGATAATAAGTATAAGTGTATACATAGTTATGAATACATGAAATGGGTACATATAAGAAAAATAAAAGAAACAATAGGAAAATAGGCACGTTGGTGCGCTTATGCATATCCCCTAGATACCTCTTAGGAAGAGGGTGAAGTCAATAGTAGACAGTCTAAGGTTAAAGTTTTTGGGGTTTGGGGAAGAAACTACAGAGTCGGTAGAGTATTCCAGACATTGACCACTCTGTTGCTGAAGTCGTATTTCCTGCAATCAAGTTTGGTGCGGGTAACCTTGAGTTTGTATCTATTGTGTGCTCTTGTGTTGTTATGGTTGAAGCTGAAGTATTCATTGACAGGTAGGACATTGCAATGTATGATTTTATATACTATATTTAGATCAGACTGAAGAAGGCATAATTCAAGGTTTTCTAGGTCTAGAATTTCAAGTCTGGTGGCATAAGGTATTCTACAACGAGTAGAGGAGTGGAGAACTCTTCTTGTGAAATATTTCTGGACTTCTCAACTGTGCTAATATCAGATATGTAATGTGGGTTCCAGACTGATGAGCTGTATTCAAGTATTGGCCTAGCAAATGTTTTGTATGCTCTAGTTAGTAGTGTGATATTACCAGAGAAAAAGCTATGTAGGATTAGGTTAACAACTCTTAATGCCTTTTTGGCTATGTAGTTGCAGTGGGCTCTAGCACTTAGATCATTAGAGGTGAGTATTCCAAGGTCCTTTACAGAGCTTGGATCATCAACAAGATCTTTGTAGGTATTTCCACATCAGACATTAATTATACCTCTGGATCTAGAAATGTGATGTTGTTTTTTGTGAGTGGCAGTAAACTGATTATTTTAATTGCTTTGTTTTATTCTGCAGAGGCAGCATTTGCAGCATTCAACAATCTCCGAGCAGATCTGAACTTAGCAATGTAGCAAGTAAGGGCCTGCTTTGGGGAGTGGTTAGGCAAGGAGGAAGGCTAACCTTTCTTCAGCTCAGAGAGAAAAGTATGTACTGCTTTCTCTCAGAAACCGTCTCTTTTCCACAAACGAGGTTTAACTATTTCTTTCTGGTGCTGGTTCTCTATTCATTCATCTCTATTCATTCATCTCTATTCTCTATTCATTTTTGGCCAACTACCTTGACATCTTGCAATTGTCTGATGGAATAAAAGCCAGAGCCTCCCCCAAAAAGGAAGGAAAACATAAATTGTTCTTAAGTCAGATCTGACTCGTAATTGCATTTTCCTGTGGTACAATGGGATAGAAATATTTTCCCTTCTCTTGTACCTGGCTTGTTTTCCCTCCCCTCATTCAATTTGGATTAAGTCCCAAGAAATCTCCTGTTTAAAATTTAGTCAGAACCAGTCCCTTAGACAGGAATAAATGCAAACCCAACAAATACATAGATGGGGTGTGTTTGTGATGGTAGGAGGGCATTGTTTGGTTTCTACAAATGCCTGCTAAATTCGTATCTATTTATGTATGCCACCCAGAGTCGCTTTAGACAGCAAGATGAGTGGCATATAAATTTAATAATTTTTTAAAAATCATATTTTGGGAGAGAATGGAAGTTTATTGCAGCCAGACCTAGCTTACCATTGCACAAAGTGGTATGATATTTCTTTGGAACTGGTGCTGCCAAAACCACCATCTATACTTGGAATATTATGGAGACAGTGTGCAGTGACTGGGTTTTGTGTCTTAGTACGTCACAATGCTGCTCTTTGGAATTATTACGACCTAAGATGGATCCCTCCAAAATCCCTCAAAAAATAAATCAGCCATCACCCAAGATGTAGTCTTTCTTCAAATCTTCTACAAGGCCATCATGCTCAGCTTTAACTGCTGATGGCCTGGCAGCCTTTCCTCAGATTTGGATGACCTTCCTTTGGGGGAATTCTAACCTATCTCCTTTTGAATTTTAAGCTAGAGTGGGAGTAGCTTCAATCTTTCTTTGAAGATGTGACATTACTGTTGCCTGGATTTAGAAGGGGAACCCTTCTTCGAGCTGAACTCAGCAAGAAAGCAATGGCCAGTCAGTCGTTCAGAAAAAAAGTGAACCAACTAATTTAAGTTCGTGACTGATTATCTGACAACCTCACTGGGAAACTCCAGGCTGCTAGGCTGCCTCTCCTGTTCTGACACCCCGCACTCCCCCCGAAGACCTGATGCTGAAAGAGTCAGTCTTAGGAGTTAAGGATATTTTCCTTCCTTGCTTGGGAGTGTTTCAATTTTGAAAAGTAAAAAAAAAATATACATAGAAAAGTCAGAAAAAAGAAACATCGATTGCAACTTACCCGGAAGATTTTGAATTGGGAAGGGAGTAGAGCTTGATCACGTCCTGTATCCTGCTGCTTTCCTGCTTCTGGCAGGCTGTGATGAACTCTTCCTCCGATGTGAGGTTTCCCCCCCAGTATCAAAACCTGAAGAGCCTTCTGGAAAGGTGTATTTAGTTTCTCTGCCCTGGGCAAATCCCAGTTTTTCTCTGATTGTGCCTAACCTGAGAGGAGCTCACAGACCTCCTTTCTGATCATCCTCTCCATTTCACAACTGAAAAAGAAGATTTTTTTTCCCCTGGTTTAGCCCAAAACTCAGTCCGGCGAAAGTTTGTCTGAGGGAGGTGGTGTGTTGAAAAGCAGACACGAGAGGGAGGGTGTGTCTGGGGGTGTACGTGGGGGGAAACAGAAGACAAGATCTTATTTCCAGCCCCTCTCTTAGCCTCTCGCCCAAAAGCAGCGGTTTGGCAAGATCTGGATGTGGGAGAAGTTAAAAATGTTTCTTATTACTGCCTCTTCCTGCTTGGCTTTTCTCCACCACTCCCAGCTAATAAAGCATTTCCTATTGTGGAGCAGAGATCTATACACATTCTCTCTCTCTCTCTCTCTCTCTCTCTCACACACACACACACACACACACACACACACACACACACACTTTTCCTCCCCAGCCCAAGCACCCCCCCCCCCCACCAGTAGTTTTCTGTGATCTCCCATACAACTCCTCTGGTTTCACCTTTAATCCCCTCTCTTCCTTGCCATAGACTTCATTTTCAGAGGTTTGCCAGATCCACCAGTGCCTCAATGCCTCCTCATGCTTCCCTTGGCCGTGATGTGTTGATGAAGCCACAGTTGACTGGAATTACAGATGGATGGATTCACATGGTTGGCTTAAATGGTAAAATTGTATTCTGTTGGGAGCAGCAATGGCTCCACACTGTGTAGCCGACTCTGCAGCCAGGGGACTTCTGGAGAACAGCTGACTTCTCAACCTGCTTAGCACAGCCACATCCTCAGCGTTCGCTGCTTGCATTCTTCATCAGCCATTTTGGCTCCAAATTTTGGCCAATACCTGATGCTGACCCAGTTTGAAATCCAAAGCAGGCTGCCCTATTTTCACCAGCTGCTATCACTGGCCTGGTATCTCTTGTCTTACTCTTTAGAATTGGTCCCGACTAGGGACAGAAATAACTAAGCAAGAATCTGAATTGTTCCTTCTTTAGTAAGACATCCTTCACTGCAAGGAGGATGCTGATGCCACAGCAGCTCTTACCAAGAATTGTAATAAAGCTGCCAAAGAGAAACTCCAGTGACCAGCAATTGAGAAATCTATATTAGGCTACATTACAGGTAGTCTTTGACTTTCATTTGGTGATTGTTCAAAGTTATAACCGCACTAAAAAAAGTGGCTTAGGACCATTTTCCACATTTATGACTGTTGCAGAATTGCCATGGTCACAAGATCAAAATGCAGACGCTTGGCAACTGGCTCATATTTATGACGGTTGCAGTGACCCGGGGCCGTATGATCACCTTTTGTCACCTTCTGATAAGCAGAGTCAACGTGGAAGCTGGATTCACTGAACAATTGTATTACTAACTTAACAGCTGCAGTGATTCGCTTAACAAGTGTAGCAAGAAAGGGGGCAAAACTCGCTTAACAAATGTCTCACTTAGCAACAGAGATTTGGGGCTCAATTTTGGTCGTAAATGGAGGGCTACTTGTACTTGTACTCTATATTAGGACAACTGAAGATGAATTCTATTATCCTGTAACATTAGAAGATATCTGTGACCTTGTAATCCTGTGCAAAATTAATCTGTGCTTAATCTAATGTTAATCCATACCGTTTTAACTTTTTAGCACTTGAAAATAAACCCTTCTGTGTATAGCTTCCATGGAAATGCAGATGTGTTAGAAATTTTTCCATTTGATTGCATTCCTATCTGATGTACATTCTGTCATGTTTTCCTATCAATTTAAATGAGTAATGTCTGAATTTCTTGCTGGCAATTAAGGATGCATTTGTGTGAAACTATTTCTTAGTTCACCAACGTCCTTCAGCTCATGATGATCTTAATATAATCTGAATCCCACATAAAGGTAGAACTAAAAGTGCAAGACAAAAATGTGGCTAAAGACCCATTCTCCTTCCTGTCACCCCTTAACTTCCTCTTCCTGTTGGAAAAAACAGAATCTAAATTCAGTAATTTCATTTGGAAAGGATATAAATCTACCTATTAAACAGAACCCCTGCCAAAAATTTTCTGCATATTTTGAATCAAACAATTCTTAGTCACCTCCTCAAACCTGCTTTGCTAATACTCAGTCCAGATCATTTTCTCACAGATCCAAAACTCAAATAAGGTTAAAGCAACAAAAATAATAAAGACTGACAGATTTATTATGGTACAAGTTCCACATCTACTATATATATAGTCAATGAAAGCTATGAATTTGTCAGCTTTTCAAAAGTTTTTATTTTTAAAAAGTTACAGGAAGAAAAAAGAAAAAGATAATTAAAGAAGTGACTTATCTTTTTTTGCAGCAGTTACAGATAAAGTATTATCCCTCCTCCCTCATTCAAATTATATTACAGAGATCCCTTTTGTCTCAGATTCAACTTTTTTTTTCCCAATCAACAAATCCACAAACCACTATTTCACGTTTTTCCATACTCAGCATTCAAAAATCCATTCAAAGTTTCAGTCTTTGAACAAGTCAATTTTGCTATTTTTGATCATTTAGCTTCACATTCCAATCCTCCATTGTGAGTATTTCAGTATTTCTCCATCATTGTTCATATACTAATCTTTCTGTAATTGCCATATAAAAAACAGTCTTCTGTAAATCTTCTCTAAATGATTATCCATAAGTCCCAGTAGAAAAAAGGATTCATCTTGATATTTATGCTTAAAATTCTTTATGTATTTGTATCCAGTTTTTGGTTTTTTGTAAGTCCACCAAAGACCATAAAGTGTTCCTTTGTGTTTTTCACATTTCCACCATTGCCTAGAAGTACCTTTATATATCTTAGATAATTTATCTGATGTAGTATACCAGTGCTACATCATTTTATAAAAATTCTCCCTTAAATTTTAACACAATATAACTTTCAATCCTTTTACCCACATCCTCTCCTAGTGATCCATCCATTTATATGCTATACTTATGATTTACATCTCAAACCAACTGGATTGTATATACCATAAGTAAAAAAGAATTTTAAAATGGAACGGAATATCTATATTTCAAATATAGTTGCTTGGCATTTTCATAAATGATATCCTGCCAACTTCTGGATGCACTATTGGTCGATTCAGTTTGAGATACTCCTCATATACTTACATTAAATGAAGTTTTTTCTTAATGTAAAAGTGTTTATATATAATCTGATATAATTGTGTGATATGAAGCTATTTTAGAAGTGATTGTGTGCAGGCCTCCCCTCTTATATACAACTCTTCTGGCATAAAGCTTAGCAGACCCTCCAAGCTATAATATTTGCATAATTTTCAAATTTACCCCTTTTTCAAAAAGCATAAGAAATCCCCTCTCCTAATAAAAACTGGCTGAGATAAAGTGATTATGAAGATCATTCAATGAGCTTCATAGCTGACTGAGAATTTGAAGCTATTTCCCACTGTTTTAAATTCAGTAATGTAATATGTGTGTATCCATTTTGAATTCTAACCTAATACCATAATAGCCTCCCAGTAGTTAATAGCACAAGTCATAAACACAACAATTAAGAGGCATAAAAGCTTATAAATAACAGCAACAATATCACCAGTCAAGATTACCCAATTGCCTCTAAGTGAACAATTCTGTCTTCAGCAACTTCTGAAATATTGTTAGGGTTGACCAACTTTTGTGGGAAGGTTATGTTCCAGAGACCCATGGGCCATAATCCCAAATACTACTTCCTACTCACTTCCTCCATTACTTTAAAGATTAACCTCTTGTGTGAAGATGTTACCAGTTGATTGATTCTACTTGGAAAAGGTGGCTCTGAAGATATCTGGAACCAAGCCTAGTAGGGTTGATAGGTTAAAACTATCACTTCGGAATGTACCCAGAAATCAATTGGAAGCTTCTAGCACGTGTGTTATTGCCCATGACACTCACACATACTAGAACAGAACGACAGAGTTGGAAGGGTCCTGGAGGTCTTCTAATTCAAAGCCCTGCTCAGAAAATTACGGTTGGAGACAGGATGATAATAATCTGATATGACTGGATTCTGGGAGGACCTCTTCAGGACAGGCAACACCAGCACCTGTTACCTCATAGACCCAGCCAACATTCCAGCTCCCAAAGGAAGGAAATGGACGCAAGCTAAAGATAGCCGAGTTTATGCTGAAGAACAACCTATCCATTTCACTGGACTTTTTATGATATTAGAAGATGCTATGCATGAACATGACTTTAAAAGAAGCTGTCCCAATCACCTCTCCAGATTCTGCCAGTTAAGAAGTCTTCAGTAAACGCAAGCAATATTATCAGCAAAATGACGTGTAGGGAAGCAGGCTGAAGGGAGATTGCAGCTCAAAATGCACTAAAAGCTTCTCCACTCTTACTGCCATGATGTAGGTTTAAACATAAGCTCTTATTTGATTCAAATTCTTATTTTGATTCAAATTCTACCTCTACCGGAGCACTTTATTCATCCCTTTTGTGGCTTCTGCTGCTTCATCTTTTAGAAATCTTCAATCAACCAAGGTGATCACTGGGATCAGCTGACAGAATTGCTGTTCAGAAGTAACCATATCAAGCCCCTGGTCACTTCCTTAATTCCAAAGATTCACCAGGTGCCCTACCTTCCCTTTTAAAAGTTGCTTTTTCTCATATGTTTGGGGATAAATGTAATAGCATGGCCAGGACTAATATTTGAAAATAAGCCAGGATGAACAGCACTTACATGCAAGGTATTTTTCTCTCTCCGTATACTAGCATTCTGACGAAAGCTGGCCATTAGAATTAGTTCTTACTATAAAAACACAATACTCTGGTATAATGGTGAATGTGATTTACAAACATCCCATGTGTACTATTCTTAACATTCAATGAAGTATATTTAACGAAGTCTTTTATATCACTGGTATTTCTGTTTGAGTGCAGAGAGTGGGAATCACATCTTTTAAAGTTCCCTTCCGAAGTTTAAAGATAGCATTTTAAGTTTAGTAATCATTTTGCAACAGCTATTTATAAACTTTATTAGAACGGGGAAGAAAACAGCTGAAATGCAGTTCCTCCTCTGAAGTTTCCTGTGGTGAAAAGAGGCAGCGCTAGAGCTTTCTAAAACATTGTAAAATTGCTTTCACACATACCGATAAGCCTTTTTTCCCCCCCAGATTTGTGGGTCATCGCTGGTTATCTGAATCTATCTCTTTAAAAGCTGTTCCTTATCTTAGTCATGGGGCT